AAAAACTTTCCAAATTTGTGTACTCCTTTTCAAAAGTTCACAAAACCAACTATTATTCTATCATCAACACTATGCCTTCTTCCTTTGATCGGTAACATTTCAGTTGTGAACAAAATTTTGAGAAGGGATGTTAACGAATTAAACATGAACGAACAGAAGTTGCTTCTGTTCGTTTCTTAATAATTTTGGTGTGTGCATTCGTATTCTTTCATTAAGGTTTTTGAACATCTTGTTTGTGATCGTTTGTTAAGTATTAATTAGTGTTTGTTAACGTTCGCTAGCACATTCGCAAATGTGTTCGTTAACATTAACAAACACGTTCACGAACATGTCCATTAACATTTGTGAACACATTTACAAATGTGTTCGTTAACATTCACAAACAAATTCATGAACATGTTCATTAACATTTGTGAATGTGTTTGTTAACGTTTGCAAACATGTTCATGAACACTAAATAAACAAGTACATGTACATGTTCATGATCATAATTTATTCTTGAATAAGAAATCACGAACAATAACCAAATAAACACCCTAACGACTATAAAAATTAAATAATACAAATAAGTGCAAAAGTATTTTTTTTAAATAAAAAAATATAGACTAAAGGCCTAAGCAAAAGTAGTATATATACTAGTATATGAAAACTAAATAAAATAAAATAAAGAGTTTTTTTTTTTCCCAAAATGCTTCATCGACTATTGCTCATTCTCAATTTTATATTTCGATTTTCAATTGCACCAAATGTGGTCACTAGACTTTCAAAAACTAACCCATTTCAGTCCTCTATTAAGAATTTCATCTACTCAGTGTTAAAATGGAAGGCATTTTCATTCGTTTACCTATTATACGCCTAATATACACTGAGAAATAGTTAAGGGACCATTTTGAAAAAAAAAAAAACTCATTTATTTATTTCATTTTTGTTTATTTTTATTTTTTAAGACTATCAAATTAGAATTTCTATATAATTTTTTCTAAAAAAAAATAAATAGTTAAAATCTCAATCCAGCCTCAAAATTTTAAACTTTCTCTACAGACTTTTTTCCTCTATCTAAGAATACAAACATTTCCTCTATCCCTATCAAGTTTTACAATAAGTTCCGTAAATAATCATACTAAAAGTTCAATAGACAATCAATAAGTATGTATCACATTAAATATTATTTTATCTAGTTTAGACACCCAAAGAGTGCAAAATATTGGACTAGACGGTAAGTTTTTCCAGTAAACTTCTCAACTGAGCCAAAAGATAAACTTTCATCTGTGACATGAAAGTAAGTTTACTTCTCGGTCACACGGCCAAGTAAAAGACAATTTTGGTCATTGACTTATAGTGGCACAGACAATTTTAATCCTTTATAAGAAAATCAGACAATTTGTAGACACTCTTATTGTGACGAGGACTTGGTCCTCCGTCGTGGGGCGGGGGGGGGGCATTAATATCTTTTCATCATACCTCCTTCTTGCAGCCTTAGATTGTCGTTCTCAGGGAGATGGCGTTCTGGGGAGATGACCCATTCGAAAATATCCATTATTCTCTTCGTTTCTGGTAGGCGGTCCAACAAATTACGACTACTATTTTATCGCTAAATTTCCATTTCCTCATTCCTCTATATACAATGGACCATCACCCCCACAAGATCAGTTACAATACTGGACATCTTTTGGTCGTCTCGTTCTTTCTGAAACTCAGATTCGATTTCATAACCCTTTTGATAAACTCGCCGAATAGAATTACCTATTTTCCGTTTGGCGTGTTTCATTTTGATCTAATTTTGTTATCTCTTTGATAATAATAGCGAATTGTGGTAGAGAAATTTGATATTCTGAAAAATGTTGAACGGGATGATGGATCCGGAGATGGTCATAATCGCTCAAGAGCAGATGAGTCGTATGTCACCCGTTGAGTTGGCTTGGATTCAGCAGCAGGTTCCCCATTTCTTCCTGCACTTTTCCCTTCTGTTTCTCCATCATCATCTACCTATATCTCTTCATCGCTGCCTTTTCCGAACTTAATTAATGGATTTCACCCCAACAATGGCTACTCTCCTTCACCGCCGACCCCACTGATCCCTGAGCCCGACCCATCCCCTTCGTCCTCTTTGCTCTCTGACTTGCCCCTTGCACCTTTGACACTATCATCTACAGTACTTTCAATGGACATCACGGTAGATCCGTGACACTTTCTTCTTCCGTCAAATCTCTGTTGTGCTCCTTTTTGCCCATGCTTTCCACCCTCATCGTCTCTCAAATAATTGTGTGTTTAGTAGGCATAGCTTTCGGGGTTTTGGCGGTGGCTCTGTTGACTGGGCTTCAAATTGTGGGTCTTGAAGTGAATTACAACAACTCCAGTTGGCTTTGATAATTTTGTATGTGTTTCTGGTTGTTCCCATGATTTTATGGCTGCATATTAACTGGTCCTTGCCGTATTTGATTGTGGTGGTGGAATCAAAGTGGGGGTATGAACCCTTGCGGAGAAGTGCCCAATTAGTGAAGGGGATGAGGCGAGTAGCAGCGTCGCTGTGTTGTTGTTCCTACTTTCCGGCCTTGTGTTGTTGTTGACGATGGGTTATAATTCATTGTGGTTTGGCATGGTACTGCTGTTCACTGTGTTTTTTTTCTTTAAATCCCTGATATAAAATTAGTTTTTTTTTCTTTTTTTTTTATATATATAAAATATGTTTATAGAAGAATGTATTCTACTTATTTATGTGTTCTATAGTGGAAGAAGAACCCAAATGAGGTTGGTCCCTCTTTCAGTAGATTAGTGCTTCACCTGAGGGCTGCGTTCTTTACATTTTGTTTGGTTCCCAGAACACTATCAGTGCTTCACAGATGATGGCGTTAGTCTAAGTGTTGAGAGAAGTGAGAACGGTAATCTAGAAGGCTGCAAGAAGGAGGTATGATGAAAAGACATAAATGCCCCCTCCCAAACGGCCCATCTAACGGGAAAACTGACGGAGGACCAAAATTGTCCTCGTCACAATAAGAGTGTCTACAAATTGTCTGATTTTCTTATAAAGGATTAAAATTGTCCGTGCAATTATAAGTCTAGGACCAAAATTGTCTTTTACTCCACACGACCAATGGCGCACTTCTCAGTCACAGAGGTGCTTCTGGCACTTCTCGGTCACAGAGGTGCTTCTAGCACTTCTCGGACAATGACAAAATGTTGAAAAATATTTTTGTAAAGTTGACATAACTTAGTCTGCAAGGCTATTTTCTTTCCAAAGTTAGTACAAACCATAGCTACCATTTCCAAATCCCTAGCTACTAAACATTACATCATGCTAAAGAGAGTCTACAACTATGACTACCAATTTTATGTGTTAAAGGACAAGTAAAACAAACCAAAAGCAAAACTAATTAGCACAAAACAAACAATCCTAACCTAAAGCCTCATCATATACCAATATTACAAGTTCTTGTCATTTTGAAGTTTGTTTGTATTTTATATATGAATGTTAATAAACTTAAATTTGAAAGCGAAACTTTTTTACCAAGGTATGTAAAAAAAATAATAATGTTACTTTCAACTATAAAAATAATATTTAATGTGATACATAGTGATTGCTTGTATGTTGCATGTTGAACTTTTAGTGTGTGTGTGTGTGTGTGTGTGAACATAAAAAGATAAAAATAAAAAGTATATGAGTGTTTGTGAAAGTTAAGAAACTTATGTAAAACTTGATAGGGATATAAAGGAAAAGTTTGTATGTTTAGACAGAGGGAAAAAGTTTGTAGAGAAAGTTTTAAAATTTTGAGGTTGGATTGTGGGATTTTAACTATTTATATTTGTAAAAAAAAAAATCTATAGAAATTCTAATTTGATAGTCTTTAAAAATGAAAATAAACAAAAATGAAATAAATAAATGAGTTTTTCTCAAAATGGTCCCTCGACTATTTCTCAGTGTATATTAAGCGTATAATAGGTAAATAGACAAAAATGCCTTCCATTTTAACACTAAATAGATGGAATTCCTAACGGAGGACTAAATTGGGTGAGTTTTTGAAAGTCGAGGGACCATATTTAGTGCAATTGAAAGTCGAAATGCAAAATTGAGAATGAACAATAGTCGAGGGACCATTTTGAAAAAAAAAAAAAGAGTGAATTCCATTTTTGGTCCTACTGTTATAGGGACGTTTCCAATTTTAGTCCACCTTAATTTTTTTTTTGCCACTTTATAACCACTATTATTGAATGTGTTCCACTTTTAGTCCCACCGTTAGTATTTCCATCAAGAGGCCGTGTAATCTAGGGGTATTTTGACCTTTCTTCTAATCCAAGACTATGTTTGACTAAAGAAATGAGAACATTAAACCTAAAACTTAAAAAGACCTCGCCGGCCCATGTTGGAACGAACGAAACGATGTAGCTTTGGCTTCCCATTCTCGTTGTTCGAAGAGCCATCTTCAAATATCGGAGGAGGAGGACGAAGCGCCTGGATTAAAAGAGAAGAGACAAACATAAAAAGACCAATATACCCTTTGATTATACGGCATCTTGACGGAAATATTAATGGTGGACTAAAAGTGGAACACATTCAATAACAGTGGTTGTAAAGTGGCAAAAAAAATTAAAGTGGACTAAAATTAGAAACGCCCCTATAACAGTAGGACCAAAAATGAAATTCACTCAAAAAAAAACTCTAAAATAAAATAAATTATATTTAACTGAATAAATAACCGGCATATTCATGAAAATTATTAAATGAACACTACACGATCCTATTAATGAACATTATTAAACGATCACTAACAAGTTTGTTCACAAGTTCTTAACAAACAAGCCTACAAACGAGCTCTAAAATATGAACATAAACAAACACCGTTTACTAACATGAAAACAAGTAGTTACCGAAAACTCTATTCACTAACACACTTAACTATTGTGCCCTACTTATCATATTATTGTTAAGGGAACCTGTAGTCACTATTCAAGAATGTGCACGTTGAGTAGCATTTCAATCAATGAGTTAAATTTAAAATTACTGCACCAACCAGGACCATAATCGTACAAACTCCAATGTATAGTAAGCATATATTTAGTGTGAACAAACAATGAGGAAAAGACTTCACATACACGTAATGGAAAAGTCCTTGAAATACAATAATGCAACAATATAATATAACTGAGGGGAGTAACTTATTTAAATCATGGATATTATATTCAACGGTGCCTTATTATAACATGCATGCGGTTTTCATCTTTCGCAAGAATGAAGCCTGGCCTCTCTCTGATCTTCCACTGCACAGTCACGACGAGTGTGCAAGTGGAGGAACGCTTTGCTCATTCCTGAAGAAGTTGGTGGGATCAACCTTCGTCTTCACAGAAACCAACCTGTCAAAATTGTTCTTGAAATACCTTATCCCCCATTTCCGGGCTTGTGCATAGCTTGTGTTGCCTTCCTCGTTTATCCCTAAGTCAAGATCCCTGTAATTCACGTACGCTTCTCTTGGGTTCTTGGAAACATAGGAAGCTGTGTAGGCATACAGCTTTCTTATCCAATTTATGTGCCTCTCAGTCTCGGAAGCTTTACTGTCATCATGATTCCAGTATGCTAGGTACTGGATTTTGAACAGATTCCCATGTCTGTGAGGGAATGGGAGTGATGACTCGGAAATCTCATCCATTCTTCCCCCGTATGGGTTCAAGATCAGCTCGGCCAAATCGGCTTCGTCTTGGAGGAGGAATTCCCAGATCCCTTTTAGGCCTTCCATGGGGATTGGCTTTTTCACGTAATCGGATTTTGCTTTGAAGTAGCGCACCTTGGATAATTGAACCCTGCGTTGCAAAGCGTTTGTGGGTGTTCCGATTGGGAATCCTCCAAAGTATAGACAGGATTCCACCCAGGTCATTTCCTTGCAATCTTTCTTTGTTAGCCCGAGCTCTGGGAACCTTTTTTGGACGATATGGAGCAATCGGTTAGTCCGGCCGAGATAGAGGGAGTTGAAGGAGGCTTGAACGGTGTGATGAGTTTTGGTGGTGGTGGAGTTTACTCTTTTTAAGATGAGTCTGATGAACAAATCTTTAGGGAATTTGTGCGCAATAGACTGCCATTTGTGTACCAGTGCTGGGGCGTTTTGGTCCAGAGTCTTGTTGATGGTGAAAACCGTGACGGTTTCTGGTACATCAACTAAACGTATCTTCCATGCAAGAACCACTCCGAAGCTATTCCCTCCACCCCCTCTAATCGCCCAGAACAGATTCTTCCCCATGGCTTTCCGGTCAAGAATCCTTCCCTTCGCATCAACCAGGCGGGCATCGATGATGTTATCCGCCGACAGCCCATATTTTCTCAGCAAAACACCGTACCCTCCGCCGGTAAAGTGCCCGCCGACTCCCACCGTGGGGCAAACGCCGGCCGGAAACCCCAGCTTTTTACTCTTCTCCGAAACGTGATAATACACTTCTCCGATGGTGGATCCCGCCCCGACCCACGCCGTTTTCGCCTCCGCATCGACCGTGATGCTCCTCAGCTGGGCGAGATCCAGTACCAGAAACGGGTTCTCGAAATCCGTAGTGTAGGATAGCCCTTCGTAGTCATGGCCGCCGCCTCGGGCTCGAAGCTGGATCCCATGTTTCTTGGCGCAATGCACGACCGCTTGCACCTCGGACTCCTGGCGGGGCGTGACTATGATCCGCGGCCGTGGGGTGTTGGTCCTGTTGAACCGGAGGTTCTGGATGGGGAATTGTAGGATGGGCAAGAACGAGGGATTTTCCGGCGTGAAAACATCGTCGGAGAAACTAGAGTTTTTGGAGAATCGGATCAGACAGCGGCGGAAATGATCGTGGTGAGTAGTGTGGGGTGATTTAGCCCATGAATTGGACGAGAAGAGAAGAAGCAGTGAAGAAAGGGACAGAAAGATGGAGGCTGTAGAAGATGTCTGCATCGTTTCGGATCTTGTCTGTTCTTGTGAGCTCGATCAGTTGGGTGTTTTGCGATAAGTTTCCATGTTTATAGCCACGGGGTAGGGTGAATGTGATTGAAAATGAGATTGAATATGTCAATGCATGCATGCATGCCAATTGAATTCATGTGATCAATTTGAACATTCTAGCTCCAGTCGTACGTCTAGATGATATATTTGCAATAATGTCCTATGTTTCGTACCTACGTACCACGTGATAATGATCAAATTGAATCGTCTATCGATTAAAAAAGTCAAGAATCCAACTTCAAATTGCTATATTGAGTTAATTTCTGAAATGGTCCTTCGACTATGACATTTTCTCAAATTGGTCTATTGACTTTTAATTTTCTCAAATTGGTCCTCCGACATCTGAATTTTAAGCCAAACTAGTCCTCTGTTAGCTTTGGAGTTAAGTTGGTGTTAAAATGGAAGGTAAAATTGGAAATTTAGGTTTTGCATGCCAATTTAAAGCAATCTGTGATTCCTTTCAGCAGTCTGCGCACATAGTTCTTCAAACTCCTAAATCTACAATCAAAACGTGGGAATATCAACTAAAAGGCCAGAAATCTTTGCCTTGGGAAGGTTGGGGATAAAGTCGAAGATGAAAATTTGTTGCCTTCTAGTTGATTATCTCACATTTTAATTGCAGATTCAGGAGAGCAAAAAACTATTTTGAAGAAATATGTGCGCACACTGCGGAAAGGAATCACAGATTACTTCAGATTGGAGTGCAAAACCAAAATTTCCATTTTTACCCTTCATTTTAACACCAACTTAACACTAAAGCTAACGGGTGACCATTTTGGCTTAAAATTCAAAAGTCAGAAGATCATTTTAAGAAAATTAAAAGTCAAGGGATCAATTTGAGAAAATGTTATAGTCGGAGGACCATTTTGGGAATTAACTCTTTCTATATTTCTTCCCCAACTGCACCTTTATGACCAACTAAGCTGCCCATGCGGACTTCAAATTGTTATATTTGTCCCAAGGGAAGAAGGACTAATTGCATACATATATGATACATCAATGATCTATTGGTATTTATTTCTTATGGGGTGGTATTTAACTGCATAAGAAATTGTAATTATGCATGCATGTGAAAATCCCCTTAGCTTATACGTCAGGAGAGCTATGACAAATGATTAAATAGGTCACTAAATTATGCATAGAAATTGAGTTACATTACCGAACTTAAAAAGAAAAAAGTGGAATTGACTCTAGCTTAAAACAAGTCTATCTAAATTGTGCAATAATATAATAGCAAAAATTTGTATGAGGTCGTCTCAGAGATCCTTATACGTAAGACGGGACAGGTTGGATTCTAGACAACTGAGTTTGTAAGTAACACAATTTAATTAATTATAAGTATTATAATATTTATCATTGGTAACAATCAATTTTATCTTAAATACTACAACAATTTCACATATAAGTATTACAATATCTATTATAGGAAATGATTTATTACTTTTTAATTCAAATTAGTATTAAACTTTCTACAATAAGTATTATAATTTCTTTCATAAGTAATATTTCAAATATAAGTATTACAATATTTACATTACAATTACACTTTGAAAGTATCATAATTTCAGTTATAAGCATTACAATATTTATCATTAAATTAAGAACAATCATTGTATCCTAAATAGTATCAAAATTTTCAGATATAAATATTACAATATCTATGATAAGTAATAGTTTATTTATTTAAAATTGGTATTAAATTTTCTATAATAAGTATTAGAGAAAATGGTCAAATAGGCCCTGAACTTTACTCGATCAAACAATCAATTAGGCTTTTAAACTTTCAAAAGTTACAATTAAATCCATAAACATGTTATTTTGAAGCATGGAAACCTAAAAATCGGTGGGTAATATGTAATTACAACTTACCTAGGGTTCTGGTGACCTTTCCTACACTTCCCGACTGATAGAACATATTGGTTCACTTCAATATGTTGTGTACAGATTGTGTATAAAAATAAATGAGAAGTATGAAATTATTGAGAGAATTTAGCTAAAAGAAGCTTTGTTATTCATTGTTGTTATTGAATGTTGTAGATAGATAGTAGAGGAGAGAAAATGGTCTCCCCTTGTGTGGGGAAGGACCTCCCCTTATATGGATGGAGAATTGGAATTTTTGGGAATAAAATAATTCTCACGCACTGCTGGAAATTTTTTATTTTTCGATCACTTTTCTAACCACCTAATAAAAAATTAAAAAGTGACATTTTTTAAATTTTTCGTCGAAGAATTATGGTGGGGAAATAGGTCAGAATTTTCTACAATCTTTACTTAGTGGTCGGAAATACCGACCACAATGTAAAGTGGTCAAAAAAAATTTTGACGGTCTAAATTTTTTAAACTGAGTTGAGAATTTCCACCCGTCTTTCTAGTAGCCGATTTTTCTGACCAATTTACAAATTTGGATGATATTTCTAACCACAACTGAGTTGGGTGATCGCCCCGAGTGGATATAACAGGATTTTATTATCTAAAGATTATAAGTTTAATTTTTATCAAACGCCGTCTCAATCTAACTCATCAGACAAAATTTCTCTGGTCATCACCCAAAAAATAATAAATAAATAAATAAATAGCAAGTCACAATTGAAAATGTAATTGATAATTTTGAATTTTTAGATAACCGCTACGGTGTGATATTTATATTGATCATGCCGAATATACATTCTATCTTGTAACTCGGACGACCATATAAATTACGTCAACAACCAATTTCGATCCTGCCCATATGTCAAACCCATTGGGAGGTTTCAATCTCTGTCCAGTATGGAGAAACTGATAGAAATGTCTACTTGACTACTTCGTTCAGGTTTTGGAGCCAATAACCTTTAAGAAGATTAATGTCAACAAGAAGAAAAACATAGCTTCGGTTATTGAGTTCTCTACGGCTGTTCAAAATCACGTTTGAATTTCTTTCCAAGAAAAATGAAAACCTCAAGAAATACACACGGAGAAACTCAGAAACATCAATATCTAATTTTCTTGTTAATTTGGCTGTATCTCTTCAATGTCATAATTTTCTTCCTACAAAAGGAAACTTAAAGAAAATAATTTTATATCTATAATTCTATATATACATATATTTGTATACGTCCATGTACGTATATACTCCATATGTCCCATTTTAACTGTTGTATTTACTATTCATTGGTCAAATCAACTCTTTCTTCTTTGGTTGTTTTCATTAACATTTACTTATAATTTTAAATTTGATTTTTTGTGTTTAATAGTACTTTTCATGCAGTTTCTAAATATATAAATTTCACATATTAAATCTAAACTTAATATTATGAAAATTAAATTGTAAATAACTTCAGTCAAGTCTCGTATACCGAACCCGACACATAAAATGGGACGGAAGGAGTATATATATATATATATATATATATATATATATATATATATATATATATATATATATAGGTTCCTGTGAGGACAGGTCCTCCCGTGCGGTCAGTGCGGCATACATCATTAGGTATGCATAAATGCACCACACAGTGTTCGAAAATACACCATTGTGTGTGATGTATTTTTTTTTTGTGTGGTGCATTTTTTGGCATTTCATTCTGGTGTATTCTCGAGCACTGTATGGTGCATTTATGCATACCTAATGGTGTATGCCGCATTGACCGCACAGGAAGACTTGTTCTCACTAGAACTAAAATATATATATATATATATATATATATATATATATATATATATATATATATATATATATATATATTATGAAAACCAAAATTATGAATCTACGTTTCAAAAAAAAAAAAAATTATGAATCTACAGTATAAAAATTATGGATGTACCCCTGTGTTCACCCTGCGTATGGTTAATACATTTCCACAGCATAACTATCCTAATAAATTGGTCTAATAATAGCTAGAAGGGCTAATGAGCCGTATGAATAACTACGCTGGGTCAGTAAGGCAATTTATATCCTGCACCACGGCGCGCGTTGCATTGTGCGCCCAGATGCAAAACGATGTCGTTTTAGATTTTTTTTTTTTTTTTGTTTTGAAATTTCTCTACCCAGTGTTTGACGGTTAATTTTCCTTAAAAAAAAATCTCATGTTCAAAAATGTACATAATTGTATACATGAATGTACATAATTGTATAACAAAATATACATACTGTTTTTTTAAAAGATAATACACATAATCTAACATAATACATAATAAACATAAACTTTTAACATAATACACATCAACTCTTAACATAATACACAAAAATTTCCTGATTCGGATGTACATAATTGTATAAAAAAATGTACATAATTGTATAAAAAATGTACATAATAAAAAATATACATAATCACAACAACTTCCTACCGCGCCTTCCAAAACGACGTCGTTTTGGGAGGCATGCGGCGCACAGTGCTACGCGCATCGTGGTGTAGGGTATAACGATTGGGGTCAATAATTCCAGTGGCTGGGCCGAATGAAACCTGGGCTGAAGTGGGATTTAATTCCCAAATGTCAGTTGGGCTTTTAATTTTGTGGATGTGTTGAAGGGACTTATGCCCTGGAAATGTGTTCACCGTGAATGATGAACACAAGTCCAAACAACGTCGTTTTTACGCAAAAATAAAATAAAAATAAAAAATCGCGGATGTGGAGTTAACGGCGCCGTTTGATCAAATTATGAATTTTCTGTTATGAGATTATAAATGTAATGAAAATGCATAATCTCATAACAGAAAATTCATAATCGCATAAAAGTAAAATATTTATTAAATTATGAATTTTCTGTTATGAGAATGAGATTATGAATGTAATGTAGATTCATAATCTCATAATAGAAAATTCATAATTTCATAACAGAAAATTCATAATCTCATAACAGAAAATTCATAATCTCATAACTGAAAATTCATAATCTTATAACAGAAAATTCATAATCTCATGGTTCCAAAGTGAATGTGTAGGCATGGTTCCAAAGTGAATGTGCAGGCATGGATTCATAATTTATGAATGTCCGTGATTTCAGACGGGAATGTG